TCAAATTTTACAGTGAACACGAAAATAATAATTTAAAATAATGAGGTAACATGTGCGGCTCGATTAATCCCAAAAAGTCATATGAAAGTCGTAATATTCTTTGTGTCAAAATAATAGCTCGTAAACTAAAGGTAAAGTCGTTGATCGCGGTGATCCATTAATTTAAAATAAGGCCAATTGATAATCCAACCACCTAAGGCAAGATCGTATCTGATTCAGCCACTTAAGGCAAGATCGTATCTGACCCAGCTATCTAAGATAAGATCATATCTGACCCAGCCACTTAAGGCAAGATCGTATTTGATCTAAGCCATCTAAGATGAGACCAGGAAATGACTCAACTAGTCACGGCAATATCTGGGCACGATCCAGCCAATCAAGGCAAGACCGGGGATGCCTCAGCCGATAAAGGCAATGTCTGGATACTTTCCAGTCAATGAAGGTAAGATCTATGCTTGTGTTTAATCACTTTAAATGTTCGAAAATCTGGCCTCTCACTTGTATGCACAGGTCCAATCAATGCTAAAAATCGTCCACAACTTTTCGGAGGACGACTGCATTAATATTTCTGCATGCTTCTCTGATATGGTTTTTCATATTCTGTATAATCGTAGGTTCCTTGGAATAAACTTGATTTTGATATAACTCCAAAGATAAAAATCTAGAGGCGTTAAGTGCGATCTTGCAGGCCATTCTTGAATCCCATACCAATCCATCTATTAAGGAACCTTTCCAAATTTAAATATTCTTTAACTGCTCGAGATCTATGAGCCGGTGCTCTGTCTTGTTGAATCCATATTCGATTGCGCACATTATTGCCGACATGTCTCAAAAGATTAACCAGGTCATTTCTGAGAAATGTTAAGTAATTGGCCGCAGTGAGATTTTCTTCAAAGAAATATGGATCAACAATAACATTTCCCAAAATGCCTGCCCAGACGTTAATAGACCACTGCCTCTGAAACTCGGCTTTTTTGCCAATGTGGATTAACGGCTGAATAATAATGGCAGTTGTGTTTATTAATACCACCTTTGTTACCGAATGTGACTTTGTCTGAAAAAAGAATTTCAGAAAAAATCTAGGATTTTCTTGGATTCTTGATCTTGAGCCCAATTATAAAAACGTAAACTGCGTTGGAAATCCTCCTCTTCTAATTACTGAGTTAGATGGATAGTATAGTGTGGAACTTGTAAGCCTTGAGCACACGATTGGCTGTTTAGATGTCTTGTTTCTTTTCTATTTGTCGCGTTGATATCTGAGGATTTAGAAAAACGGTACTCAGAACAGTTAGAGACGTGGCTTCATTAGGGCCAGATTTTCGACGTATTTGTTGAGTGCCCTGTCCTTTCACATAGTCTTTTAATTACCGTTCTATTAGGATGACGTCTACGGAAACGTCCGGAAATGTTTCGACATAAATCCTTTCAGCTATCCTATAATTATTCCTGGCCTCATCTAAAATTCTGATCATATCGATTTATTTCGAGTAATCCATAATTATAGGACAATAGAAAAACTTGTGAAAATACTGAAAGTATTAAATTCGCCACGAGTCTCCGCCTGCGACTGGATTAGCAACAATGCAGCAAGTGACACTAGCAAGTGAATGACAACTATGATTATTAAAGAAATTTATTAATGGGATTTCACACATGTGCTTCTTTGTGGCGTCAAGCCTCGACGAACGAAAGATAATGAAATGCATGTGTTCCGTGAGATCCCGAATTCCTCTTAGTCATGCATCGCGCATGTGATAGACAGTTCTAGGAAGACGAGGTGAAGATGGAGAGATAGCAAGACACTAGACTGTGGCAGCTGCATCTCCAGTTAGCCAGCGATAGGAACATGCTTTTTGATACTCTGAAGCAAGACGATTTTCGGCTGGACATATGATGCAATTTTGATTCGAAGTGCACGTGTGCTTCTTTGTGATCCTGACGCATTGTGACCTTCATATAATCCTTTAGAGTCAATCGGGGGGGGGGGGGGGGGGGGGGGGGGGGCCGGTTGTGAGAGGCAGTGGGGGGGTGGGTGGGAGAGGAGGGGAGGACTCCATATGTTACTTCATCATTTACAATTATTATTTTCATTTTTATGGTAAAAATTGAAATAATGAAAATACGAGGAACAACCTCCAATCGTCTTGATCTTGACAGATGTTGTCAAGGTGACGGCCCTCAACAATATTCAAAAAGTTTTAGCCGTCGGTCGAACACCTGTACAAATGCTAATGCTAACAATATTGTAACTTTTCAGTCTTTTAACTCGAAAAATACTTAATAAAAGAATATTTAGTTATAATGTTTTGGGAAGTTCTCGAGTATGCTATAAGAATATGTAATGAAAAATGGGGGATTCTATTCAAAAATTCAAAGTGATCTTGTCTTGACCTTGACGACGCTACTCAAGAGCAATCCAATGTTATCATTTTATGTCCCCCGAGGTTTCAAAACTTTTGTCTGAAATATTTTTCCCTAAAGTGCATTGTTCAAGAGATATTTAATCAATGATCAATCGATTAAAATGGGACACCCTGTATAGTAATTCAGAGTAAATTATTTAAGCACTAAAGATCTAGCTTTAACCGTTATGGCCATTACTTCTATTTCTTATTATTGAATTTTCAAATGTACGGTCCAATAAGATTCTACTGTTCTTATTGTTTATATTGCGTTGCTTGAAAGAAAAACGTTTTCATACACTGATTATTGCGATGAATATTACTAAGGCCTCGCTAGTATAAAGGCAAGAACGCTTGTACGGAATACATAAGATCCAGGTTCTCTCGGCCAAGGAAACATTTTTTGCAATATAAATTTACAGTTTTTCAGCATATTAACATTTTTCTAATAGGATGCCTGAGCATCAAATTATTAAAATTACTTGTCAATTCGTGATATTATTACAGTAGTTTAAGGAGATTTGATGAAATATAAGACAAGTCTATATAATATACATGTAATACAAAAGTTAATAATATCAATAATATGTAGAAAAAATGTCATTGATTTTTATCATTTTGATGATATTTAATTATAAATTTATAGAATTTTACATTACAAGTTGAAAATATAATCTTATTCTGTAATTATTCTCTTTTAAATTGAGAAACTTGCGTATAAGATAGCAATTTAAAAATCATTATAATTATAAAAACACTTAAGTTTTGTTCTCGTACAGTTTCAATTATACTGACCATATAATTTACAAGAAATTTATATTCTTTAATGAAAAAAGCTAGAATATATGTTAAATGGATGATGCGTACATCAGCATCTTACAACTTTTATTTTGTCATTTTGAAAATATTTAGTGACATAAAATTAACAATAATTATGGCATAAGATATTGTTACTAATATTTTTATTCCATTATTTTAATTGTTTTACATATTATTATGAATAAACTGTCTATTGACTAGAAAGTAATGCGAGAACCTCCTTAATTGCGCTTATAAACCCGAAAAACCAATTCGGCGCGCAGTTTGAATGAAAAAACAAATAGTGTATATACATGTAAATATATAGTATATGTAGTAATTCAGATTGAATTATTTAAGCATTAAAGATTTAGCTTTGACCATTATGGCCATTACTTCTATTTCTTATTGTTGAATTTTCAAATGTATGGTCCAGTAAGATTCTTATTGTTCTTATTGTGTACATATTCTATTTTTGAAAAAAAAAAAGGCAATTATATCATTGGTGAACAATGTTTCAGAATCTGTTTTTTTTTGCAATACGATTTTTAATGAAGTTATGAGCAATCAAAGGCAGAATGCTCCTTTTTCCTTAACTCGCGAATAACTCAAGAACAAAAATTGTAGGAACATTTTTAAAAAACGATTTTGTAAGGAAAATTTCAAGTTTTTATGATGAATAGTCGTAAATTTTTTTGGCACATGATAAACCTACAAAATAAGAATAGAAATTTCCTTTCACTTTCAGCTCGTTTTCTATATGTAAAATTACCAAATTCACATGAACCTAAAAAGTACAATAACCTTTTGAAAGTAGAGATTTCAAGCTTTAAAACCTTTTTTCTAAATTTAAATTTTGCTCATTTTTGACGAAGATATTATATAATTTTGAACTAACAAAATATCATAGAACTTTTCCTTCAATCCTGTATGTAAGGAATTTAAATAAAGATAGTGATCATTAGATAGATACTAAATAATTATTATGAAAGTAAATTTTTAATTTGAAAAATTTGAATACGTTAAAATCAATATGTTTTTAATTTTAACTGATTAAAATTAAAAATTAACTGATTTAAAATTAACTAAGTTAAATTAAAAGTTAAATGCTTATTAACTTTTTAACTTTATTTCTTAACTTTTAATTTATTAGTCATTACCAAACCTTGGTCTTTTAAAGAATTTATATTGAGACTGTGTAAATATTGATGGAAATTAAAATTTTCTTAGCATCTATATGTAATATTTTTCCTTTTATTTCAACCATTGATTAACAGTGGCATGATTTAGATGTATTAGTTTATAAAAAGCATTTTTCATGATTCTTTCACCGTGCATTAATTTTATTGACTGAGAAATTTTGGTATCTGACAGTCATGAAGAAAGAATCACAGGACTTATGAATTCTGTGCAATTGGAGAAACCATGATTGTCGTGATTGATTTTTGAGAATTAGCTCTTCACACGAAGCTATTATAATGTAGAAGAGAAGAAATCATTGTATAATCAATAAGAATTTAATTTTGAATTCAGCAGTGATAAAACAGAATGAAAACGCGAGCTCTTTTATAACATGTTATATTAAATTACAATACATGATAGGAGATCGAAATGTTTATATATTTGTTATATTGTACTAAATAATTATTTTATAAAGATTGTTTGTCACATTGAGAACTAGTGGAGGCTTTCATGCTCCTTTTATTAAATTGTTTATTTCATGGTTTAAAGAGTATATGTAAATTAGATTCAAAATAATATATGCAAACTTGTATAATATAAATAACATTTTTATTTTAGATTGCGAAAAATTGATTAGACACATGTTGGTGGTAGAACCAGAGCGACGTTTAAGTATTTCTCAAATCTTAGCGCATTCATGGATGAGTGAAGATGGCGTAATAGAATTAGAACCTGGAGGGTATGTAATATGATATGAATTATATATTTTAATAATATAAACAATAATTTTCAAAATAAAAGCAATAATTTGAACATAATTACGTTAAAAATTTGGTCAACTATTGAATTTTATGATTGAAGAGTTGTCTCACGACTATATAATTATTATATTTAATATATTATGCTAATACATAACCTTTCATTTAGTATTAGTGATAAATGATTGCATAAACGATTATTTATTTAAAAATTGTTTAATTATATAAGCAAGATTAATAATACAATACAATAATACAATACAATTAAATTTATTTTTAAATAATTTATTATGATTTTATTATTATTATATTTTTATTTTATGAACAGAATCTTTAAAATATCTTTATTATTATCTATCATATAATTCAGTGAACTGCATAACATTTACTTATTTAATCGTATTTATTAATTTAATCATATTTATAAATATTTCTATGAACGGTAACGATAAATGATAAAATAACTGATTTGTTTATTAACAATAATCGTGTATGTTTATAATTTTTTATATTTATTTAAATTTTTTGATCATATGAAAGCTTCAAATATGGTCTAAATTTGTTAATAGGAGCCACGAAGATAATTTATTTATTGAATTATTCAGTTACTTAGATACGAATATTCAAATTATCTAAAAGGTTCAGATCTCATATTTGAAAAATTAAATCTACCTAGCAATGAGTCTTCGCGAATCTTATGTAAAAATGAATTCTAGTCGAATTGGCTGAAATTTTACTATAATGTACTTCATGATATTCTTATTAAAAGTCCTCATAGGCAGGAGGTCCAAAAATGAACAGTTTTCGAGATATTGGAAATCAAATGTTGGAATTTAGCCATTTTTCCAATATTTGACAATATCTCAATATCTCAAAAACTATCCATTTTTGGATCTTGTGTCCATGAGAATTTTTGATCAGGACATTATGATCTACATTATAGTAAAATTTCAGCTAATTCGAATCTAATTTACATAAGATTTGCGGGGCCTTTGTCTGAACCTTTCAGATAATTTGAATATTCGTATCTAAGTAACTAGATAATTCAATAAATGAATTATATTCGTGACTCCTATTAACAAATTTAGACCGTATTTGAAGCTTTCATATGATCAAAAAATTTAAATAAATATAAAAAATTATAAACATACACGATTATTGTTAATAAATAAATCAATTATTTTATCATTTATTGTTATCGTTATTCATAGAAATATTTATAAATATGATTAAATTAATAAAAAATAAATACAATTAAACAAGTAAATATTATGATAATTTAGATCCAAATCCAAATATGATAATTTAGATCCTATCTGTTACAAGAAATAGAATAAAAATCAGATTGTTAAATTAACGAGAATTTAATTACTTTTTATGTTTTGCTAACTTTGAAAATGCGTTTTCTATATCAGAAAATATTACAATTAAAAAGAATCTATTATCTGAGCATATTAATTAATAATATTAGATAATAATTTCCAGTTAAAAATAGCGTAAATATGTCGATGAAGGGAGCACACCCCAATGACCTTGACTTTGAAATGTTATCAATATCATGACCCTGAGTGTCCTTCAACAAGTTTTAGCCGTCGCTTGTTATTCGTTAAAAAGTTATTAACAAAAAAGTTTAAAAAATGACGTCTTATTTCTGCCACATACAATATTAAAAACTGTCTTATATCCTTCCTTACATACGTAATGGCTTTTCACGCGAAGCGAAATCCATCCCCCACTCCCTCTCTGCCTAGGGGCGCACGACTTTCCATACAAAGCGTGGTCCACTTCATAATGTAAGAAGACAAGGTGTCACTCCTGAAGTTGCGCAGTGGTTCAAAGTAGCATCTGTTCTTCGACCAATCAGAGTTCGCCCCAAAATGCTAACATGGCTTCTTCCATACATACATGCTGCGTAACTATCAAAGAATAGGTTGGTGAGGCCAATTAAAATTGAAAAAAAAAAAGAAAGAATAGATTGGGTCATATTAGTAGTATTTGCTTTAGTATAGTAGTTATTGCTTATTTAGTTCACAGAAATGTCTGTTGTGTAAAATATTGTATTAATCGCATGTTTTACAAGAAAACAAAAAATGTTAAATTTTTTCGATTTCCTAAGGAAATTATTCATCGGCAATGGTTTTAAGCCAGTCGAAGTATAGAAATAGATATAAAAGTTGATGCGGGTAAAGTTGATATAATTAATTAATCATTTGTTAGTTTGCAATATGTACATATACACTACGGAAAATGAATTTTTAAACATAATTAAAAGCGCTTTAGATTACAAACTTTGAACGTCAAAATACTTTTTTAATTTTGTGTTGAATAATATAGAATAATGTACACATGTATTATACACACATTATATGTAATATAGAATAATATAGAATAATATACATATTACATATTAACATACAGTGATGGTCATGAAAATAGAGCCATGTATATAACAATTTATAAAATAGTTATTTTACCCATCTATCTTCACTTGCTGGTATAATGTTATTTATTGTATAGTAGCAACAATTCATATCAACTAAAAAACATAATTTATGACATATATAACTCCGCGAACAGAGTAAAAAGCCTTGAGGAATTGTTAATCATAATCGATTATTCTTCTCACACTCAATTTTTATTCAATTTCTTAAGGCTTAAGACTTAATATCGCAATATATACAGTAGTGCAACTCGCTGTTGACACCTTTGATGTCAACGTGCCCAAAATTCAACTGTTCATGTGCGAGTTAAGGAGGTAACTAATTATGGACCTGCTTTTCGCAGCTGCTTTCTGCACTAAACTACCCTAAAACTTTCTATCTCGCATTCACTAAGCGTCAAAATTATATTTATTTCATTTTAAGTACAATAAACGTTTTATGTATTATACATTATAGTAGAGCAAAACATTACAGTCTACAAAATAGTACATTATAGTCTACAAAAGAACAGTTCTTGGAGTCGATTGTGTATATTTTGAAATGATGTAAAAATTACAAAAATGAGCGGATTTATCAAGTATTGATCATTGTAATAATTATCACTTGGTCACTATTTACTTAACACTGAACACTGCTTTTCTGCCATTTTCTTTTTTGGATATTCTACAATGTGCTTTTTGTTTTCTGTTTCTTGCTTTTTGCTATTTTTTACATCTTGTATTTTTGCTTTTTATCTGGTTTTTTGTTTTATATCGCCCGAGATAAAAATTAATGAACTTTAGGAGAAACAGGAGATACGTAGCAAGAAATACATTGTTAATAAAACGGTTGCAAAGGAGGAAAAAGCAAAAGGTAAAAAGCAAGAAAATAGAAAACAAAAAGCATATTGTAAAATAGCCATAATATTGTAGAATAGCATCTTACATAACTGTGCATAACACACTGTTCGTACTTTTCCCTCCAATTCACTTCTATTACAAGATATCTGCTGGTTGAGCATTTAATGGCATTTAAAAAAGAAAGTATAGAGAAATAGAAAGAAATGCGACAGAAAATTAGTTACGTGATTGGTTACCTCCTTCGCGCATGTGCAATTCAATTTTGGGCACGCTGAAATCTGGGGAGTTGCGCTCTGTATATACTGTGTTTACTACTTTATTATGTTTGCGGAGTAACGCGTTACTTTTTAAAATAAGTAACTAGTAACGATAACGAGTTATTTTTAACAAAAAGTAACAAAAAGTAACACGTTATTTTTCTAAGGTAACGTTCCCAACTCGGTATATATTGATGTATTACATGGTTTTTAGAGCACTATTAATAGTCTTAGTACGGCGTTTGAATCTCGCGCAATATTTAAATATAAATTTGATTGATTGCTCTAGTATGCAATCACCATTATACGTAATAGTATGCGTTGTTTTTTGTTACATCGTGATCTACCCTATTTTCCTCCTAGGGACGTAATGGCTTTTTATGCAAGTAGATCTTGCTTCGTGTAGAAAGTCGAGCGCTCCTAAGCAGGAGGAGGTAGAGTGGACCTCTATTCGCGTGAAAAGTCGTACGCCTTTAGACAGGGAGGAGGAGGGAAGGATTTTGTTTTACATGGAATGTTGATAACCCCGTGGTAGAGGGAGAGGTGGGTTGGATCAGAAAGAATTAAGGAAAAGTGGAGCGAATTTAGCCGGAAGCCGCCATGTTTAGTGCACCGTTGAAGTGAGTAGGAAATGTGGTAGGAGTATGATGGAACTATTGTACCGCATTAATATTGTATGTATGATATATATGTACATATATACACATTTGGGAATCAATCAGAGAAGAGAATCACTATCTGCTCCATTCTTCCTTGATTCTCTCTCGGTTGGACCAGGGGGTCCAAGGTGCCATTGTTATGTATAGCTGAGTTACAGTTTATGGCGCTATCTAAAGAGAACTTGTTAAAAAGAGAGACAATTTCTTCGTCAAGTTTGATAAAAATACAAAAATTTATGGTCACCGCGGTCACTCACCCGATCTACTATCCTATCCAACGATGCTTTACCTATATGATCGCGTAGCCGAACTACTATGTCGTGAAGGTATTTTTTTTACTATCTGACCGGATAGCCGGATATCAGGTAATATCTAGGAATATTCGGTTAAAATTTGATATCATTAAATTAATTTTTCCTTATACAAATATTCTTCTACACATAAGTATGCATATTCATAATGCTATAATATCTTATACATTGTTGTAAAATTATAATCTTTTTCTATATAGGCTTTTTTTTTTGAAGACACTTTTTTAGAATCCGATCGAATATCCGGAAAATGTCAGATATCCGATGTTACATTCTGTCCGGATATTTGATATCCGGTATCCGGTAATTTTATGATCCGGTGCATTCGTAATATGAATATTTGGTTGTGTTCGCTTTGGCGCTTTAGCATGTGTTTCGCTTTGTGTCGTTTAATTCTTATTGTTTATTAAATATTGATGGAGGATAATTGATGTTCACAACATGTACTGTAAGCGCCAAAGCGAACGCAGATTA